CTTCCGATTTTAGAGGGATTGATTTTAGTGAGTTAGAAGGAAAATTAATCTATCTCCTTTACCTGTCATGTATCTTCATTAAATAGGGAAATAAATGACAGATAGTTAGACAAAAATGTATCATCGTATAGGAATCAAACAAAATGCAGTTTTACCAAAGCAAAAACAAACAACAAACAACAAATGTTTTAGATTTTTCTTCATAGGAGTTTGTAAAATTGGCTTACATGTGGTCGTTTTAGACATACCCAACAAAAGTAAAAATTGGGTATCATAGAAGGTCTCTTCATTTTGAGTCACAAGTTAACTGTAAAATTTCAGGGGTAAATTATATTTTTACCCGTGAAGTTCACGTTGGTTTACATTTTGATCCCTAACTTCTGATTGGTTAATTTGTGTTTTTGATGTTGAATGATGTACAATAATATATTTCACTCTACAAACATATAGATATATAGGCAAAAAGCACCCAAAAAAGAACACGAGAAAATATCTAGTCCTTGTAGAGGCGTGAGATGAGAATTGTTTTTTGGTTGAGGTGGTAATGAAAAATATCATTTGCTCTGTACGAGTTAAAATATTAGACAATTCAACCAATATATCCTCAATGCCAAACGACCTTATTAATCCACGCCTATTTGTCTCTTCTCTCGCCCTAACCTCTCTCTAATTGTTTCTCTCTTCACTTTAATTTTAAATTATGTACTTAAAAAATAAAAATAAAAATAAATTATTGTTTAAAATATAAATATCACACGATCAATGTTCGATTTGTGATATTATGTTATGTCTTTAGATAAGGGATTATTGCTAATATATAAATATATTCAGTTGTACAATTTGTTGTAAAAGAAACCAAAGGTTAGGTGTATTTCCCTAATTTATAATTAGTAGTAGGTGTAATTAACTACTGTTGCCTGAAGTGCATATAACCTTTTGATGAAAGAATTATGTTATGGTGGAAGTAAGCTCCTTTACCTGTCGTGTATCTTCATTAAATAGGGAAATAAATGACAGATACTTAGACACAAATGTATCATCACATAGGAATCAAACAAACTGCAGTTTTACCAAAACAAAAATCCAAAATTTCAGACTTTTCTTCAAAGGAGTTTGTAAAATTGGCTGACATGTTATCGTTTTAGACATGCTCCATTACTAATAAGAGTTGCATATTTAACCCTATGGGTTATGTAGGACAAAAGGAAACAGTGAAAAAAGTGAATTTTTTTTTTTTTGGGCTCTTGTCAAGGATCTTATTTTTTTTAAGAAAAATATTTTTTTAAGGTTTTATTTTTCTATTTTCCATTTTGTAAACAATACTAGATAGTGGTAAGATTCAAATTTTGAGAAGTAAACCTATAGACTATGCATTTGAATTATTCTGATTGCATAAAACTCGAGTTTACCATATATACATATTTTATAGATAATTAATTGCACCTGATATTTGAGTTGTGATCATTTACCTAAAATATGTGTGATTAGAATAATCACCTATTTCAATTTTTATGCCTTCTTTTTGTTTTTAACTATGAAATATAAATCTTTAGGAGCGGTTGAGTGATTGAGTTTGATTTTTAGTATATCAAAGGTTTCAAGATCTGTTCTTTTTTACATTGGTTAGTCATCCTTGTTTCTTTAGAGATATGTTCTAATCCAGTTCAAGTTACAATGACCAATCACTGAACTCAATAAAGCAATTGATACAAACCTGATAATCCGTAACCAAAAAAAAAACCCATCAAATATAACAATTAGAAGTGATGACACTACCATCCAACATTAGCTCCTTCAATTCATTATTTAAACACAAGAGGACCTTAACTTTCTGTTCATTAATCTCTCTCTCTCTCTCTCTCTCGGTAGAGCCATGGCATCAATTCTCTCGGGAGTACTCAGGAGGTAAGTAGTTATTATCTTGCTCGATCAAACTCTATATATTTTTCTCTAGTTGTTGGTTACCACATGTGAATTGTAAATGTTCACTAGCTCCTAGTTTGATCGGGAAACCATTCAAATTGTTGAGGTTTGTGAATCGGTCTCACTCACGATCCGAGTCTGGTGTCGTCCAATCCCTTTTCCACCATGGCCATCCCAAGCAACCGGTCAGTGGCCCACAGGCTGGCTCAAAAAAACCCAGATGACCCAGTTGGGTTTATATACCGGCTTGTTAATACAATCAGTATGATCATGGATCTTTTTTTAGCCCAAAATTTAGGCTTGACCCACTAAAATTATAAAGAAAAAGAAAATTTGATCAAGTTTGAAAAATTTTGGATAAAAAACCTAAGCCTATTAGTAGAGCGGAGTAGCCATTATCATATAATCTTTCTAAAGTTCGAACACTCTCGGGCTCTGTGCGTGAATTCTTAATTTGACAGTGAATTTTCCATGAATTAACGATCTAGGATATTTCATTGCCCGACCCATTTTACAATTTTTGTTTAAGTCTTGACTAATACTAAGTATTATTGTGTCGGAGACTATGAAAACCCATAATAAGATTAGAAAATCTCATCTCAGAAAATTTAAGTTGGACTTGATCTGGGCTAGGCTGATTATGGCCTGAAGATATTAGAAAATCTCATCTCAGAAAATCTAAGTTGGACTTGATCTGGGCTAGGCTGATTATGGCCTAAAGATAACCCAAATTGAACTTTGGTCCTAGAAAACAAGTCCAAACACAATTCAGGCCTATCATAAATTTAACAGGACACACCACACATCTGCAATTTAGTATCAGTCATACATTACATTGTGTCATTTGTGTGTATCCATTTTGGGCAGGCTAGAGGGAAAGGTTGCACTGATCACTGGAGGAGCAAGTGGCATTGGCGAATGCACAGCCAAAACCTTCATCAAACATGGAGCAAAAGTCGTGATCGCCGACGTTCAAGATGACCTAGGCCACGCAGTTTGTGAGGTCTTAGGGCCATCAAATTGTACCTATGTTCATTGTGATGTCACAAACGAAAACCATATCCGAGATGCAGTGGACAAAACAGTTGCAACTCAGGGGAAACTGGACATCATGTTCAACAATGCTGGAATATCCGACAATAGCAAGGCCCGGGTCATTGACAACGAGAAGGCAGACTTTGAACGCGTCCTCAGCATCAATGTAACAGGCGTTTTCCTAGGCATGAAACACGCAGCCAGGGTTATGGTCCCGGCCAAAAGTGGTTGCATAATCTCAACCGCGAGCATAAGCTCACAAGTTGGTGGCGCAGCGTCCCATGCTTACTGCTGCTCAAAGCATGCAGTTTTAGGCCTCACTAAAAACTTGGCAATAGAGCTCGGACAGTTTGGCATTAGGGTCAATTGCTTAGCACCCTATGCGCTTGCGACACCTTTGGCCAAGAAATTTATAGGGCTTAATGATGATGAAGTACTCGAAAACGCCATGAACTCATTTGCAAACCTCAAGGGTGTGACCCTTAAAGCAGAGGATGTTGCTAATGCAGCCCTCTATCTGGCTAGTGATGAGGCAAGGTACATCAGTGGACACAATCTCTTCATAGATGGCGGTTTCAGTGTATACAATTCAGCATTCCACATGTTTCAGTATCCAGATGCTTGATTTGAATGATCACAAGTTCGTTCAAACAGAGACAATACAGATTTTGGGATAGTCATATGGTGGATCCGCCACAGAATAATTTTGTTTTGATTTTACTGTATCTTCGTTTGATGTGTGCCATCGTAAAATTATGTGTTCTTGGGCGTACTAAGGTCCTGTTTATTAAAATTTTTGTTATGCAACTTATATTATTGGATACAAAGATAATAAGGAAAAATTATAGTCACACCTCCTATAGATACTGATATTTACATTGACATTCCTTTTATTTCCAGAGGGCAATAACACCTCGTATCAGTGTTGTTATTAAGTGAGAGACTATGCTTGGCCTTTGGTCTTCTCAAAATTTATATCCATAACCCAAAAACTTTCCCCTCTCCCTAATTACAAGGAAATCGTCAAATATTTCAATANATTTGAGTTGATTAAGAATTATATTTTTTACGTATTAAAATTTAAACGGATTAAAATTCTATTCGAGATTCAAATCAAATTTTAATCAACTCGTATTAAATTTTAATCGGTCAGAATTTTGATACATAAAAAAAATGTGAATTTTAATCAACTCAAATTATAATTTGTAAAAAATAAATTTTAATCAACTTGAATCGAATTTTAATAAATAAATAAATATAAATTTTAGTTGACTCGAATTGAATTTTAATCGGGATTAACAGTTCAAATAGATTTCAAATCAGCTTGAATTTTAATAGGGAAAAAAAGACTTTTAATAGTCTTGAATTTTAATACGTAAAAAATATAAAATTTAATCAAGTTGAATCAAATTTTAATCCACTCAAATTTTAATATGTAAAAAAAAAAGAATATTAATCAGCTCAAATTTTAATATATAGAATAATATATTATTATCAATTTGAATTTTATATAGAAAAGTTGTTTGGAGTTTATGCAGGGGCAATTTTAGTATTTTGGATAATTTGTTTTGTTATAAATGGTAGTTTAATGACATGGGTGTTAGTAATATTTAAATATAAACTAGATATGGGTGTTAATGATATTTTTTATAATAAACGGGGCATCCTAAAAATATAATAAACTAAAAAATGTGGCTGAAATTTTCCCATATTGCAATGGTGAAACATCATCTGGTATGTGAATTTTAGTGCAAGAGTTTGGTATTGTAACTTTATTCATATTCTAGTTTTTTTTTTTAAGTTTAGCAAGACTATGGTATTAAAAGATTACTTTTGAGATCTTGTGTCAAACCTTACGATGGAATCGTACGGGGTTATGATTCAATCTTATGGCACTAAGATCAAATACAATTTGTTGGATCGACCAGAAAATTTGAAGATTGAACTTTATATTTAGGATTGATCCAATCTTTTAGTGATAATTTAATGATTATAATTCAAATTTAGTTGTAATTAACTCTTATTTTACAGTAATTTTTAAGATGGTACCAAATACTGATCGAAGTCCAATTTGTAACTACTACTACTACTCGCACTCTCTCTCTCAAGTGCATAACCTACAATTATTTTTTTATGCTTAATTTGGTAAGAAGGATGAAAAATAAGAGGGATGTACTTTTTATCCTTCAAGGATGAAAAATATGAATAATACACTTTCCTTCCTTTGTGTTTGGTTGGATGGATGAAAAATAAATATGATTAATTTTTTTTTTTAATATTTTTTTTGTGATGACGAAGATTAGAATTGACAATCGAGTCGTGTCGTGTCAAATTCGTATTGAATCATAAAATTATGAGCCTTTTATATTTCTTGTTCACGCGTCGGGTCATTTTCAAGTTCGTGTCGAGTTATAATCAAGTTTGTGTCATAAAATTTGTATCGAGTTCGAGTAGTGTCATCGTATTGAGTCAAAAATTTTTACCCATATGTTAAATGAAAAAAATATTTTTTTTAATTTTTTANCGTGTGAATTGTATCTCTCCTTACGCTGTGTGTACAAACATTTCAGGAAGAATGGAATAATTCACGCAAAAAATCGAGGCTGCTTTGAGTGAGGTCGGGAATCTGAAGGGGGCAGTTCTTAAGACCAATGATGTTGCCAGGGCTGCTCTGTAGTTGGCCNATTATATTTTTATATGAAATTAATTTATACATAATATATATAGACAAATAAGATACATCTAAATACAAATAATTAACTTTTCATCTGTTTTCCTTCCGATTTTAGAGGGATTGATTTTAGTGAGTTAGAAGGAAAATTAATCTATCTCCTTTACCTGTCATGTATCTTCATTAAATAGGGAAATAAATGACAGATAGNTTAATCCTTCACTGAGGCTGGCTTACACTACTAAGTGATTGGATTCTAGGACATTTCATACTTCGTAGTCATTCTTAGGTAGTGGTACCATAATCCTTGACATAGACTGTATCATGCAATGCTTTCCTGCAATAAATTTTGAAATTTTTTTGAGTTAAAAACACTTGCCTCTTTAGTCCTGTACTCAATTGTGATACTTTAGTACTTGAACAGTTGTTGATTATTTCAAAAAAAATTACAAAACATCTCTGTGTGTGTGCTTTCACATACATATATACACGAATAACCCAATTTTTGGCCATGGATGATCACCATGATAATGAAATGGTCATGCCCTCGTACAAATTAAATCACCACAGATAGTACTTAGAACTATCCAATTTGTTTTTAGATTGTCCTCTTGTTAACTTTCATTCAAATTATTGTAGGAATTAGGCCAATGGTACTTTGATCTTCCTCTAGGATAAGTATGAAAATCAAAATCCATCTAAAGATAACCTCAACAATTCAAATTATTGAACACGTGTGTATCTGTTCACATACTACTGACAGACACGNCTTCATTTTGAGTCACAAGTTAACTGTAAAATTTCAGGGGTAAATTATATTTTTACCCGTGAAGTTCACGTTGGTTTACATTTTGATCCCTAACTTCTGATTGGTTAATTTGTGTTTTTGATGTTGAATGATGTACAATAATATATTTCACTCTACAAACANGAACTATCCAATTTGTTTTTAGATTGTCCTCTTGTTAACTTTCATTCAAATTATTGTAGGAATTAGGCCAATGGTACTTTGATCTTCCTCTAGGATAAGTATGAAAATCAAAATCCATCTAAAGATAACCTCAACAATTCAAATTATTGAACACGTGTGTATCTGTTCACATACTACTGACAGACACTAATAACTCGAATTTTGGCCATGGCCTACTACCACTTAGACAATCATTATTCAGATCAAATATTCAGCTTTCCTGATCATTGAAGTAAGCCCACAGCCTTCATCAAGGTAGGATTCACAACACTGTACCCTCCATCTACAACAAGGTCAAGCCCACTTATGTAACCTGCCTCATCACTAGCCAAGAATAATGCAGCTTTTGCGACATCCTCGACCTTGAGAATTTTCCCTTTCAGATTTGCCATGGCAGCCAAACTTGCTTCGACTTGCTCCGGTGGGACACCAAATGTCGCGCCTGTCACCACACCAGCAGGCGAGACACAATTTACTCTGATACCATACTGCCCAAGCTCGGCTGCCAAGTTTTTACAGAGTCCCACGACTCCATGCTTTGACACAGCATAGGAAATAGTGGCATTGCCTGCAATTGATGCACAAGAACTGGATGTGAATAGTATGCAGCCTTTACGACGTGGTACCATGACCCGTGCAGCATGTTTGGCTCCAAGGAAAGAACCAACAACGTTAACACTGAGGACACACTCTAGGTCTGACTTCTCGCTATCCAAAATGCTTCCAAATGGACGGTCTACTATCCCTGCATTGTTGTACATTATGTCGAGTCCTCCAAATTTAGCAACAGTGGTGTCAATGAGGTTGTGTACATGTTCTTCATTTGTGACATCACAGTGGATGTAGCATACATTTTCACCAAGCTTATTGGCAATGGCTTTGCCAAGATCATCTTGAATATCAGCAATGACAACCTTGGCACCATTTTCCCAAAACAGGTGCACACAGCCTGCTCCAATCCCACTTGCACCACCAGTAATAATTGCCACCTTGCCTTCAAACCTGAAATAGTTGTCCGTGCAGTGTAATGAATAACTATCGAGAATTAAAAATTCGGTAGCATTTCTATCTACGTACAAGCAATTGACTGTTTTATAGTATAATCAGAATTGTAATAAGGTCGCTTACATAATGCACTAGTTAAGAATCGTAATCCTGGTACATTACATATATCCTATACATATCAAACCAATACCATACTGAAAGAACTACGCCCCCCTCGCATCCCCAACCTATTATTCAACCCTCAAATTATGGGTTTTGTCACAGATCGTTGGATTCTTAGACACAATGAATATAAGTTGCAACTGGCAAGTATTTCCAACAAAGATTGACACCTCCTTTACAAAATTGGTGAGCCCATTAACCAAATGTCAATTGCTAATGACGATCACACATTTTTGAAGCAAAAGAACACCACAACACCGGAATGTAGCCAACAAAAAGCAGGGCTAGCCACGTTCTTTGGTGTGAAAAGCAAATCAAACCAAAATGGTTTCAAAATTTTTTGGCTTTTGTGCAATTCTTCTTTACAAACATAAACCAACAATGAATCAGCAACAAGAAGAACAACAAAGATGGAGGCAATATCTCAATGTTTGTTCATATATATATTTTGGTTCAATGGTCGGGTTATCCGGATCAGTTTATGNAAAAAATATAAATTTTAATTGACTCGAAAGAGAATTTTAATCGGCATTAACAACTCGGGTAGAGTTCAAATCGGCTCAAATTTTAATATGTAAAAAATTTTTTTTAATAGGCTCGATTTGTTTTTTAAAATTTACGAATTAGTAAATAACAAATTATTATTTACTAAATTTGTTATTTATGAATTTTTTTTTAAATTTTAACAGCTCGAATTTTAATAAAATTTTATGTAAAAAAATTACTTGAGGTTATGTAGGGGCATTTTTAGTATTTTAGATGAATTGTTTTTGTTAGAAATAATAGTTTAATGGTAAGGGGTGTTAGTGATGTTTAAATTAAATTAGAAGGTGTCATTGAAGATTTAAAAATTAGAGAAGGTGTCTTTAAAGATATGATAAATTAGAAAAGGGTGTTGTTGAAATTTTCCCTTGACTTTTTAGATCAAAAACTTTGTTGAAATTTTCAATCCGGTACACCATGTATACCTAATATTCGTCCACAATATAAAGAAAGCTTGGATTTGACCCGGACCAGCCGCCATGGTGGAATAGCCTAGAAGAAGCCATGCACCATGATCTTAGACCCCTTTCTGGTCAAGGCAGTCTTGTTAGACCTAGATCTTAGACGTACAATTGCTGATAGATCATACTAGTGTTATTAGAACCGGATGAATCATTGAACCGGCAGATGACCGGATTAATAGTTCATCAGCTTAATCGTTAGGTCAAATGATCAGTTTGGTTGTATAACAAAAAAATATATAAAAATAATAATTTAACTAAAAAATTTACAATCACAATAAAATATAAATAATGCACCGTGTGTGTGGTGTATTATAATATACTGTGGGCATGTTTGTTTCGAGTATAAAATTTAGGTGGTATAAGATTTTATATTCATTCCACTCCAATACAATAATATATTATATCTGGTGTTAAACGATAATCTCATCATTATCCTTATTTATTTATCACAAATATTATCTATGTAATACCTATTTAAAAAAATCAACGACTAACCAATGTAAAAGACAATTTTAACTTTTAAAAAGTCAAAAATTGTGGCTAGACTTTTATATGGGAATTGTACCGGAGGGCATTTCGGTCTTTTTTTAGTTTATAATACCTATACCAAGAATATAATACCACTCACTAGGTGATATTCATTAAGACTTTCTACAAGACATTATGACCACTGTTCATAGCGGGTCAGAATTACGATCCGAAAAATAGTGCTGAGTATAAAATGTCAAACAAACAATGTATAAGATGGGTCCTACGTTCTATTTTTCTAATACCATCTCTTTATATCACTCTAATACTCAAAACAAACAACCCGAATGTCTTGATTGTTGAGCGGGGGTGTTAAACTAAACTACTTGTTATAAGTCGTGCCTAAAAAGAGAATGAAATATAAGATTTGAGAGGGAGAGAGGCATTTATGTTAGATAAACTTCATTCATCGTAAAATGGACCAATCCATTCCTGAATTTATTGCGTAACAAAGATAATAAAATTTATTCATATACAACAGGACCGCTGGCAGAAGATAATGTCATTTAAGAAAATTAGCAATGCTCGTGTTNTTGTTTATTAAAATTTTTGTTATGCAACTTATATTATTGGATACAAAGATAATAAGGAAAAATTATAGTCACACCTCCTATAGATACTGATATTTACATTGACATTCCTTGTATTTCCAGAGGGCAATAACACCTCCTATCAGTGTTGTTATTAAGTGAGAGACTATGCTTGGCCTTTGGCATCTTCCATATTTGGGCATTTCTTATCTTCTCAAAATTTATATCCATAACCCAAAAACTTTCCCCTCTCCCTAATTACAAGGAAATCGTCAAATATTTTAATGACCGGAAGACCCCCGAGTATATTTAACCCTCTTCAGACCCTGCAATGACGAGAGTCTGGTGCACTGGATACAAAAGTAAGACCCCTGAGTTTGTGTTTTGTTAAAAGAACAACCCCTCGATTAATTTTCGGGCTATCATAGTTGATGGCCAGCCTTTAAGGCTATTTTCCTTGACAGTTCCATTGAAAATATATGTTCAGGAGGTAAAATTGCACATGCTTAGAGCATGAATATCCAGCTCACGTTGTCTCACTTCCATTATAAATATAGTTTTATGAAAAGAAGTTTCGAATAAATCTCTCCCCCCCCCCCTCCCCGGGGTTTTGTGTATGTGAAATTCTGGACAAATTTGACACAAAGAAGATGAGTCATGGATCTGTTGCTACGAAAAGTGGTAATGGTCATGGTACTTCTTACCCCAGAAGGTACTTCTCATATCCAAAGTGCAAATTCTGTTCTGGCATGCCTACTTGTTCTGATTTAATTTTGTATGCAATGTGTATTTCATTGCACGTCTTTTGGACTCGTGATTGTAATTAGAAATCCAGTTCTGCATAAGCGCCCCAAACATCACACCTGGGTCTACCAGGGCTTGAACTTACAATCTTGAAGAATTACATAAAATAAACCTTCCAATTCAAACTATCCATGGGAGTTACATCAAGTATTTAACAACCGGGACATAGACAATTTTTTTTAATCTCGGGGGTTAGTGCAGAAGGATACTACAACATATAATGAGTGTATTTCTATTTCATATGCATTGATGGAGGTTTATTTTGCAGGTTAGAGGGCAAGGTTGCAATCATAACCGGTGGCGTGGGTGGGATTGGGGCAAGCACAGTGGAACTATTTGTGGAAAATGGAGCAAAAGTCATTATTACTGACATTCAAGATCACCTTGGCCTAGCCATGTCTGATAAGCTTGGAGATAATGTTACTTATATCCATTGCAATGTCTCCAATGAAGATGAAATCATTAACCTCATTGACACCACCATTTTGAAATATGGAAAGCAAGATATAATGTACAACAATGCTGGCATAATAGGTAACAAATCCAGAAGCATCTTAGATGCTGATAACTCTGATTTGGAATGAGTTGTTGGGGTGAATTTGGTTGGTGGATTTCTAGGAGCCAAACATGCAGCTAGGGTCATGGTTCCCCAGCACAATGGGTGCATTTTGTTCACAGTTAGTGCTTGTGCATCAATTGGAGGCATAGCAAGTCATTCTTGTGCTGCATCAAAACATGCCATCGTAGGACTCGCAAAGAACTTGGCAGCAGAGCTTGGACAGTATGGAATACGTGTGAATTGTATCTCTCCTTACGCTGTGTGTACAAACATTTCAGGAAGAATGGAATAATTCACGCAAAAAATCGAGGCTGCTTTGAGTGAGGTCGGGAATCTGAAGGGGGCAGTTCTTAAGACCAATGATGTTGCGAGCAAGCGATGAAGCTTGCTATGTGAGTGGACTTAATCTAGTGGTAGATGAAGGGTTTAGTGTTGTTAATCCTTCACTGAGGCTGGCTTATACTACTAAGTGATTGGATTCTAGGACATTTCATACTTCGTAGTCATTCTTAGGTAGTGGTACCATAATCCTTGACATAGACTGTATCATGCAATGCTTTCCTGCAATAAATTTTGAAATTTTTTTGAGTTAAAAACACTTGCCACTTTAGTCCTGTACTCAATTGTGATACTTTAGTACTTGAACAGTTGTTGATTATTTCAAAAAAAATTACAAAACATCTCTGTGTGTGCGCTTTCACATACATATATACGCGAATAACCCAATTTTTGGCCATGGATGATCACCATGATAATGAAATGGTCATGCCCTCGTACAAATTAAATCACCAGAGAGTACTTAAAACTATCCAATTTGTTTTTAGATTGTCCTCTTGTTAACTTCCATTCAAATAATTGTAGGAATTAGGCCAATGGTACTTTGATCTTCCTCTAGGATTAGTACGAAAATCAAAATCCATCTAAAGATAACCTCAACAATTCAAATTATTGTATCTGTTCACATACTACTGACAGACACTAATAACTCGAATTTTGGCCATGGCCTACTACCACTTAGACAATCATTATTCAGATCAAATATTCAGCTTTCCTGATCATTGAAGTAAGCCCACAGCCTTCATCAAGGTAGGATTCACAACACTGTACCCTCCATCTACAACAAGGTCAAGCCCACTTATGTAACCTGCCTCATCACTAGCCAAGAATAATGCAGCTTTTGCGACATCCTCGACCTTGAGAATTTTCCCTTTCAGATTTGCCATCGCAGCCAAACTTGCTTCGACTTGCTCCGGTGGGACACCAAATGTCGCGCCTGTCACCACACCAGCAGGCGAGACACAATTTACTCTGATACCATACTGCCCAAGCTCGGCTGCCAAGTTTTTACAGAGTCCCACGACTCCATGCTTTGACACAGCATAGGAAATAGTGGCATTGCCTGCAATTGATGCACAAGAACTGGATGTGAATAGTATGCAGCCTTTACGACGTGGTACCATGACCCGTGCAGCATGTTTGGCTCCAAGGAAAGAACCAACAACGTTAACACTGAGGACACGCTCTAGGTCTGACTTCTCGCTATCCAAAATGCTTCCAAATGGACGGTCTACTATCCCTGCATTGTTGTACATTATGTCGAGTCCTCCAAATTTAGCAACAGTGGTGTCAATGAGGTTGTGTACATGTTCTTCATTTGTGACATCACAGTGGATGTAGCATACATTTTCACCAAGCTTATTGGCAATGGCTTTGCCAAGATCATCTTGAATATCAGCAATGACAACCTTGGCACCATTTTCCCAAAACAGGTGCACACAGCCTGCTCCAATCCCACTTGCACCACCAGTAATAATTGCCACCTTGCCTTCAAACCTGAAATAGTTGTCCGTGCAGTGTAATGAATAACTATCGAGAATTAAAAATTCGGTAGCATTTCTATCTACGTACAAGCAATTGACTGTTTTATAGTATAATCAGAATTGTAATAAGGTCGCTTACATAATGCACTAGTTAAGAATCGTAATCCTGGTACATTACATATATCCTATACATATCAAACCAATACCATACTGAAAGAACTACGCCCCCCTCGCATCCCCAACCTATTATTCAACCCTCAAATTATGGGTTTTGTCACAGATCGTTGGATTCTTAGACACAATGAATATAAGTTGCAACTGGCAAGTATTTCCAACAAAGATTGACACCTCCTTTACAAAATTGGTGAGCCCATTAACCAAATGTCAATTGCTAATGACGATCACACATTTTTGAAGCAAAAGAGCACCACAACACCGGAATGTAGCCAACAAAAAGCAGGGCTAGCCACGTTCTTTGGTGTGAAAAGCAAATCAAACCAAAATGGTTTCAAAATTTTTTGGCTTTTGTGCAATTCTTCTTTACAAACATAAACCAACAATGAATCAGCAACAAGAAGAACAACAAAGATGGAGGCAATATCTCAATGTTTGTTCATATATATATTTTGGTTCAATGGTCGGGTTATCCGGATCAGTTTATGTACACTTTGACTAATCTTCTCTCCGGTCCGATTAAAGACAGCCGGGACTAGAATATTTATGAGGATAAATCTCTCATGCCTAGTCCAAGGAGTTCGAAAATATTTAAACTCAGAACATTAGTAAACTTGTTATTATTTGAGCTACCATGAGGCTTGTTTGTTCATATATACACCACTAAAAGTTGTGAAAGAACACTGATCAAACACAGATTTTCATTACCCCTACAAAAAACTCAGACTTTCCATCAAAAATCATCTCTTAAAGTTTTGACATGAAAAAAGAAAAAAAAAACACAAGGGGAAAGAAATCTAAATGTTGAAAGTACAGAAGATCTGTCATTAGATTGAGAATAAAGAGAGATGCATATTTGCTCACCTTTTGTTGGAGGGAGCTACCAAAGAAACATCGCCCATCTTCCAAAAGGCTGGAATTCACCAAAGAAGAGGAAGAAACTACTTGCCTGTGATCTGATGGTCCTTGATTGGCCCTTTATATAGAAGAGAATTTTTTTTTTTCTCTTTTTTTATTTGACTTTCTTTTCTAGATTGACTCTAATAAGAAGAATAAAAACAATCTTACAAGGACTTAAAAACATTGGTGATGTGATTATTATATTTATCATTAATTTAATTGTACGTCCTAATATTATTGATATTTGTTCTTAATTTGCATGCCTAATGCATTGTATGAAGCTTAAAAGATATACTCCAATTAGTTCAAATTCAAACACTCGTAGTCACATTCAAACACTCGTAGTCACGGCGACTTAATAAGATCGAGTTAGCACAAATTCATTCAACTAACTTTAATTAATCCCGATTTGTCCAAATCGATGTGAGACCAGTCCCAAATATTTAGATTTCATTAAATCATACCTTTTTGACTCTTGGGGAAATTTCAACCACACCCCCTTCTAATTTATTATATTTTTAAAAACACCCTCTCTAGGTTTTGAATCTTCAATGACACCCTCTGTCAGATTAAAAATATTAAGTAGAATGCAATTTTATTAAATTGTCCATGATATATTTGAGGACAAACTTCATCCACACCCCCTCTAGATAAACATATCTTCAATGAGACCCCCTCTATTTTCTAATTTTTTTTTACGTAATTAAATTCGAACCGATTAAAATTCGATTCAAACTAACTAAAATTTATTTTTTTTACATATTAAAATTTGTGCCAATTAAAAATTATATTTTTTTTAAGTATTAGAATTTGGGCTAATTAAAATTTTGTTTGAGACAATTAAAAATTAATTTTAATCAACTCAAATCAAATTTTAATTAATTCGCATTGCATTTTAATCACCCCAAATTTTAATATATAAAAATATATGAATTTTAATTAACTTAAATTTTAATTGACACGAATTTTAATAAGTAAAAAAATATAAATTTTAATTGACTCGAAAGAGAATTTTAATCGGTATTAACAACTCGAGTAGAGTTCAAATCGGCTCAAATTTTAATATGTAAAAATTTTTTTAATAGGCTTGATTTGTTTTTTAAAATTTACGAATTAGTAAATAACAAATTATTATTTACTAAAATTGTTATTTATGATTTTTTTTTTTAAATTTTAACAGCTCGAATTTTAATAAAATGTTATGTAAAAAAATTAGTTGAGGTTATGTAGGGACATTTTTAGTATTTTAGATGAATTTTTTTTGTTAGAAATAATAGTTTAATGGTAAGGGGTGTTAGTGATGTTTAAATTAAATTAGAAGGTGTCATTGAAGATTTAAAAATTAGAGAAGGTGTCTTTAAAGATATGATAAATTAGAAAAGGATGTTGTTGAAATTTTCCATTGACTTTTTAGATCAAAAACTTTGTTGAAATTTTCAATCCGGTACACCATGTATACCTAATATTCGTCCACAATATAAAGAAAGCTTGGATTTGACCCGGACCAGCCGCCATGGTGGAATAGCCTAGAAGAAGCCATGCACCATGATCTTAGACCCCTTTCAGGCCAAGGCAGTCTTTTTAGACCTAGATCTTAGACGTACAATTGCTGATAGATCATACTAGTGTTATTAGAACCGGATGAATCATTGAACCGGCAGATGACCGGATTAATAGTTCATCAGCTTAATCGTTAGGTCAAATGATCAGTTTGGTTGTATAACAAAAAAATATATAAAAATAATAATTTAACTAAAAAATTTACAATCACAATAAAATATAAATAATGCACCGTGTGTGTGGTGTATTATAATATACTGTGGGCATGTTTATTTCGAGTATAAAATTTAGGTGGTATAAGGTTTTATATTCATTCCACTCCAATTCAATAGTATATTATATCCGGTGTTAAACGATAATTTCATCATTCTCCTTGTTTATTTATCACAAATATTATCTATGTAATACCTATTTAAAAAAATCAACGACTAACCAATGTAAAAGACAATTTTAACTTTTAAAAAGTCAAAAATTGTGGCTAGACTTTTATATGGGAATTGTACCGGAGGGCATTTCGGTCTTTTTTTAGTTTATAATACCTATACCAAGAATATAATACCACTCACTAGGT